GGAGAGTTTCGAAATGTGGTGTTGGAGAAGGATGGAGAAGATCAGTTGGACCGATTATGTGAGAAATGAAGAAGTGTTAATTAGAGTCAGTGAGCAGAGGAATATCCTACACGAAATAAGAAAATGGAAGGCTAATTGGATTCGTCATGTTTTACGCAGAAACTGCCTTCTAAAATAAGTTATTGAAGGAAAGATAGAGGGGCGGATAGAAGTGACAAGAAGACAAGGAAGAAGACGTAAGAAGATGCTGGATGACCTTGGGGAGAGAAGAGGATACTGTCATTTTAAGGAGAAAGCTGTAGATCGCATTAAGTGGAGGAATTGTTTTGGAAGAGACTTTGGACCTGTCGTCTGACAGATTACTGATGATGATGAATGGCATTCAGTATGAGAACGTATTGCTCTTTGTGACTGATGCCACAAGTTATATGATGAAAGCCAGTACTGCTCTTAAAGTTATATTTCCAAATATGACACATTTGACTTGCCTTGCCCATGGGTTGCACCGTGTTGCTGAAACAATTCGCGCAAATTTTCTGCTTGTTGACAAGTTGGTGTCTTCTGTGAACAAGGTATTTGTTAAAGTGCCATACAGAAAGAAGCCTTTAAAGCAGTAGAACCAAGCGTTCAACTTCCTCCAGAACCAATTTTAACGCACTGGGGCACATGGTTGTGTGCAGTGAGTTATCATACTGAACATTTAGAAACAGTTAGGAATGTCATGAATACATTTGATCCCAAAAATGCAGCATCAATTCAAATTAACCCAAGATGTACTAAAAAACGCAGAACTAGAAACTAATCTTTCCTATATATCTGCTCACTTCTCCCATCTTCCATCTGCAATGTCCTCACTGGAGGCAAGCAATAGCAATACTACTTTGTATCAGTTGTTAAGTGTGTTCAAAACCACTGTTTCCAAATTGAATTTGGTTCCTGTAAGACTTGAAGTAGTAAAGGAAAAAGTACACAGCACTGTTATATTTTAGCATCCTGTTGCACTGATTTATGTCAATGATTTATTCTGACCATCTTACAGTGCATACATTTATTCATCTTACTCTTCTCTCTTGCACTACATGTTTCAGCACTAAAGTGCCATCTTCAGACACACACACATACCCAGCAGGCCCAGCAGTATAACAGACGCAGTCACAGGAGCAAGACACAACACAAAACACAATACACACATGAAAGTGGGAAGAATACTCCGATAGAAGAAGATAGGTGTGACTCGCGTATTGAGATACGATATAAGGATGACAAATCCTGAACAGTTTTAATATTTAAAAATTATCATTATATATGAAGAATATATATTTTAGTCATTTTAGTATAAAGACAACAGGTCATGCAATGAAGTAGTTTGTCGTACATAGAAAAGCACCTGAAGATGGCACTTTTGTGCTGAAACATGTAGTGCAAGAGAGAAGAGTAAGGTGAATAAATGTATGCACTGTAAGACGGTCAGAATAAATCATGGATGTACACAGCATTATTTAAAAAAATCCAGGATATGAACAAATTTGTGAAATTGAAGAAATTTTAGCTGGTAAACATACTCAACTGCCAAGTAAAAAGTCACTAACAGTGGAGCAAATAGCGGCCTTTGTACATGCGCCCCTAAGTTACTGTGAGGTGGAAATAAGTTTTTCCCACTATGAGGACATCTTACACGACAACAGAAGGTGACTAACTATGGAAAACCTAAAACATTTAGTAACTGTGAACTGCAACAGACCATTGGTTTTTTAAATTTGTAATGAAATATGTTGGCTTTGTTGCGTGATCTGTATGTATTTAAGCATAGCTTTTTACTGCAAGTGAATCATTCAGTGATTACATAAAATTAACTTAAATATTGATTTGCTGGTCTTAAAATAATGAAAAAATCAATTTTAATATTTGGTATAAATTTTTATGTGCATATTTTGGAAGTTTATCATGCATAAATGCATACATATTTAAGGGATTATTAGGGTGTAAAAATCCCATCCCTAGTAATGACAAAGCAATCAATTTGATATTTCTAATGTTTGGGGAACTTTAAAACTCCATAAACAGCCACAATGAAACAGGCAGGCTTTCTTTCCTTGTTTTATAAAGAGACAGGTCTGAGGGATCATCATGTCTGTATGTCTTTCCACTTGCCTCCGATAACTTTCAAACAGCTGACAGATTATTCACAAAAATTAATGTGAACACTAAGACTACTCTGTGTATCATGAATACCAATATCACAGCTAGGTGAATTTGTGATGTGACAGTAATGCAAGTTAATGTAAGGTCCTGATATCTCTTATCACCACAGACCTTCAAAATATGTGCAACATTTGTTAAAATAATTCTCTTTTTAGAGTGTAAAATAATAATGTGGTGGTTGCACAAAATCCATATCTTTCAGCTTCCAGTTTCATAGCAACACTGAACCAGTTGGGTGCTAAGCATAATAACTTTCAGATTATAATAAGCCTTTGTATAAATTCTATATGAAACATTCTTTGCGAGTTCATTAGAAACATCTAGTAAATTAATATGATCAGAATTTCTATTAGTGGAAAATGCCAAAATATGATGATGATAAAAGATGACAATGATAGGAGCAACAACAATAATAACAACATCAACTCTTAATTTATTTATGTGCAAACTTAACAGCCCAGAGACCAACTACAAAGTGAGCATGAGAAAGAAGAAGAAAAAAGTCAAAACACTTATAAACAAAATACAAAATAAGGCTATCTTCATTACTGCTGAGGAAGTAAAATGTTTTGTGTTCAAATATCTTATGAGTCTAGTGTATTTCATGATATTAAGTCCAAATAATGTTGTCAGGATATGGAATAGGTTCTGGTTTCTTGTTAACATGAGGACCAATGCATCAAGTCAAGTCTACTGCAACAGTGGATATAAAGTTTATGCAACCAAGTCTGTTCAAAGTTATCAAGAAAAACTAGAATATAATCAAAGTATCTGTGAATCTGATTAGGAGTATATGTGACAATCCCTCCTAAGAGAATGCTGGAAGTCACTTTGCATATATCTATATCAATAAAACTGAGCACGATGGTGTAGTAGTTGTACTATAGACATATATCTGAAGGGTAAGCAGTTAGAATTTAACTGGGCAATTTCTCACAAGTTTCCTGACTCTCCAGGTCAATGCCATGATTTTACTATCAGATGACCCTCACCTTCCAAATCCTTACCTATTCATCACTTACTTTATCTTTCAATCTCAATCGACACTCCACAATCCTCATAGCATAAATAATGCCATTTAATAATCTACAAACTAATCACTATAGAAATGAACATTCATTAAAACTTGCTGATTTCTGCATTCATATAGTTCATTTCAAGCATGGCTTACAAAAAATACTTATTTTACATATCTGAACAATAAATACAGAAACATAACCATCAGAATCTACACAATAGCACATGCAGTCATATCTTTCTCAGTAAATATTCACAAGATTGAATAAATGTTCCAAATAAACATTTGTTGACCATATTATGAAAAATATCTTGTACTGTTTACATCTTGAGGAACAACGAACCTGCAAGTATCCACACTTGTAAAGAAGTTCATGGTTTAAACATTTCTTGACACAAAACAGTAAGATGATTTTGATGACACAAATTCCATTCCATTCCATGGAATCCTGTGTGTATCAGGCAAGGCAACAGGGATGGAATGAACCTAATTCAGTCTGCAGTACCACTTTCATTCAAGTGGAATCCTCATCAGAATCGCTAAATACAGTTGTCTGGTGGTCCCTTTGCCTGCGCTTCTGTTGCATCTTGTTGGCTGTGTTGTAAGGATTACTTGCAGTAACTGGTACTACCACACATTCTGGCTGAACAACAAATACATACACCTTGCATTAGGGCAAAATGTAGACACTGGATTTGAGTACAGTGATGGCACAAGGCGGTTTTTGGACCATCTGATACTTATGTTCACTGGCAAAATGTCAAATCATGTTTGTACACTAATTATATATACCTTCCAGTGTCCAAATTGGTAACTAATAACTGAACAAAAGGAGTTTTATTACTGTTCCATTGACATAAATGTTTGTATTGAATCGCTGTGCTTATGTATGCCGAACACAGTGACTGTGCAATCCTAGGCATGAAATGTCTTCGCCCACTCGGACGCTGGGATCATGGGTTCAAATCCCACTCAAGGCATGAGTGTCTGTGTTTCTTTTGTGTTTATGCTGTCCTGTGTAGGCATCAGGCTGATCCCCTGTCCAAGGAGTCCTATCAACTGGCTAAGATTAAGAAACTGAATTGAAATGAAGTGTTTCACAGATGCCCTATATTCCAAAGTGGAAGCAACAGGACTAGACAGATAGATAAGTAGATACTTATGTATTAATTACTACATATTTCGGCCTTACTGGTCATCCTCTGGTACATACAGTTCTTATAACTACCATTTTTCATCTCCTAGTCCTCTCTGCAACGGCCAGTGTTTACACAGTGGGAGTGCTTCATCAGGTTTTGAGATATGTTATGGTTATATAATGTCTCATTTATATAACAATAGACTATATAGAAAGTATAATTAAAAACTATAATATTAAAAGATGAATTATGGTGTCTTGTCTCTTGTATCTCATTTTCACCACAATACACTGGTGATGTTCAACAACGCAGATGTTGTTCTGTGTTCTTGCTGATGTTTGTGGAGTTTTCCTCTATGATCTATAATCTTCTGTCAGATTACAAAACACCAAGATCTGGACACTGAGAAAGGGGTGACTCCCTCCAAAATGAAAAAAGAAACAGGAAAAAAGCAGGAGCTGCTAATGTAGAAGTACCAGCCTCCCCAGCTAGATTGAGAGGGAGAGTGAGAGAAAGACAGAGGGAAAGAGAGAACCTGAACTGACAGGAAGTCTACCATGGAGCTGCTCGGGACGAGCATCCTTGAAGGGGGGGCGGATGTATTGCTCGGACAATGAACACCACAAAAAAATCAGAACATCTTGCAGGAAGACGTTGCAAGCAGGACCCCTCGGAAATTAAAGAAAGGTGACACACTGTTAGGCTGTTCAGGACAAACAGTTCTAAAGAGGCAGCAATGCGGCATGCCACCTAAAAGCCAGAATATCTGAACGGGCGTCCATTGCTAGACAACGGCTGTTAAAACATGTTTCCGAGAGAGCACATACAGAGACATCCACAGCATAGGTAGCAACTCCTAAAGAGATGTCTCCTAAGCAACATAGACAGATGTTTCCTACACAACAGAGGTGTCCTTTTCATGACAATGGAAGTAAACATTTATTCTCACAGCAATGGATGAATCATTTTCGTGACAATGGAGGGACTAACTGTTCGACTTGGTGTCCTCTAGTCGGTAGGCCAAGTGGTTATGAAACAGAGTGCGTGAACAGAGAGAAGTGAGAGCAGAGATCAGAGAAGACTGGAGCAGAGAGAAGACCAGATCAGAGGTCAGATCAGAGATGATGGACTAGTCAGATCACATCGTCTGCAAGAAGTTATGTCAGAGTGACTGTTGTTGTGATTGTAAACGAGTTATCCAATAAAACAGTTTTGTCTAATCCGGAATCCACAATTATTTGTCATGGACACCCGGACACGTGACAGTATTATTAATGTGTATTATAGGTTTGTGTGTTGGAAAGGGGTATATATATATATATATATATATATATNTAATCTTTGCCTTGTGTAGTGATGAGGCGTTGTAAAATAAGCCAAGAACCATCAGTAAATAAGTAAAATGAATAAGGAAGTTTTCACTGATTCGTTATTATAACTTGGTGCTTTTAATGAAGGATATTTGTAGATGATACTGTGACATATCTCCATCAAGTTCCAAAGCTTACGCGGCGGCTCGTGTTCGATCTCGGGTCAGGTCAGGTGGAATTTGTGGTGGAAAAAAGTGGCGCTGGGGCAGGTATTCTCGGAGTACTTTGGTTTCCCCTGCCAATCTTCATTCCACCAAATTCTCCATTATCATAATCACCCGGGGCAGGCTATAATAGGCCAATCAGTGGCCACCATGCCGAGTGGACCCAGCTGGACTCCACCCCCAACTAAGAAAAAAAAATTTAATTTTAATTTTTAGTTATAATGTTAATATTAATATATTTTATATAAAAAGAGACATTATATAAAATTTAAAAGCCTAATCAAGCACTCCCACTGTGTAAACAATAGCCAATATAGGGAGCTCTAACATATGAAAATAAAGGGTAAATATAAGAATCATATATACCTGACGATGACCAATAAGGCCAAAGTATGTTGTAATTAATACATAACATGCAATGAATCTATATAAGCAATTGTGTCAATGGGACAATAATATAATTTTCTCACATAATATGATGCTACAATACAATATTTTTAGTGAACAAAAGGAATGTGATTCAAAAAGTATCTCATGGCGAAAATAGACGCAGATAGGAACACTGACAAAGAGGATATGCTAAAAGAGGGCCAACCAAGAAAAAGCAGACATCATGCTGGTAAAATTAGATGCCTATCAAGAAAAGGCGGAGATCGGCCATAAGGTACTGCTGACCAGATTGGAGGCTGACAGACAGGCCGAGCGAAGAGAACGGAGGGAAATGATGATGTAAATGATGGACACCTGCCACAAGGAGATTGTGTCTGCATTTAAACCCGAGATAGAGGAAGAGACGATGGCCTGCTGAGAAATGACGAAGGCATGTCTAGAAGAAGAAAAGCCGGCCTCAGTGGACAAGAAACCTGTGGCAGCACAAGAAGAGGTCCCCATAGTGATACTGGTCAGAGTGACGATGGCCTGCCGAGAAATGGAGGCACGTCCAGAAGAAGAAGAGCCGGCCTCAGTGGACATGAAACCTGAGGCGGCAGAATGAGAGGTACCCGTAGAAGATGCCGAAGTAATGCTGATCGGAGAACCGAAGGAGAAAAGGCATAGGGACCGAAACCGGCGAAATATGAAGGATTCAACACGGGAAAATTGTGGACCCCAGAAGAAGTTGGCCATAGCCCGCAGAAGGACGAGCCGCTGTGTGGAAGTGGCACGACAGAAGAAAACCAGTAGGAAGGTGTCCCGCCGTGCAACAGTGGCATGGCGCAAGAGGAACATTTTCAGGAAATCTACAACCCAAGGGAAGTGTGGACCGTGGCACGAATTGGCTGCTGAAAGAAATATGACTAGCCATGCAACAGTGGCATGACTCAAGAGAGATATCCTCAGGACGAACAAGACCCAGGAAAAATGTCGACAGCGGAATGAACTGGCTGCTGAGAGAATCAGGAAGACCCGCCGTGCAGAAGTGGTACGGCGTAGGAGACACAGGGACAGGGACAATGCTCCAGCAAGATCCCAGAAAAGGCAAGCGCTCCAGAAGCGACGTCTAGTACACCAGGGAGACAACGGAAGACTAAGGAGCCGAAACATCAAAGAACCCATTCTTAGAAGCATGAAGACATTATATGAGGCCCTTGGACAAGCTCTCAAGTTGGAGGGCGTGAAGAGAACCATCTGGATTTCCAGTAGATTAAGAGAGGTGAGACACTGGACACTGTGGAGGGGTCGACCCCCTCCAAAACACGTTACAATACTTCAAGATGAAATATCAAATTTTGCACCAACCTTGATTCCAATCATTTTCTTTTGTAAACGAAATATTCTTTTACTGTTAGACAAATTACCCCCCAAAACTACTCCACACCTCATAACAGAGTGAACACAAGAGAATTAAATTGTTTTAAGTGTGTTAGTACTGCTAATGTGAAACATTAAATTGCATAACAAGCTCCTCTTAGCTTAGGAATCAGAATAATAATTCTGAATAATATTTTCTGTGCTTCTACAATTCATGGGATGATCATTATGACCAACATGCAGTCAATTTTCATTATCATTGTGACAGTTTCAAGACCCTCCAGCCACAGTGAAATGGGACATTACTGCTGTAATTTTTTTTTAATTCACTTTGTGGGGGGTGGAGTCCAATTGGGTCCACTCTGCACGGCGGCCACTGATTGGCCTATTGTAGCCTCCCCAGGGTGATTTTGATGATGGAGAATTTGGTGGAAAGAAGATGGGCAGGAGAAACCGAAGTATTCAGAGAAAACCCGCCCCAGCGCCACTTTGTCCACCACAAATCCCACTTGACCAGACCCGGGATCGAACCCGGGCCGCTGCGGTGGGAAGCCAACGACTAACCACTTGAGCTATGGTGCGGCCAACATTACTGCTGTAACTCTCACATCCACAAGTGCTTCAGAAAATCGAAAGGGCATGAAGACGGCACGTGGATGAGAGGTACTATCCATAAAAACATTCATGTGGAGTTCAGCTACAGGCTGTGAGTACACAACTGTTTTTCTTTTTGTTTTTGTTTTTTTTTTTTGGGGGGGGNGAGGTTGGGGTCATATATACTACATGCAGCAATTCATGTCTTAATTTTTAATAAATGGAAATCACACTTGCAATGATAACTTCTGTACAGATAGCACTGGTGTTCCAGAATAGGTTTCATATTCTCTGGACAAAACTGACAAAATGTAACATTTCTGTCAAAACAATGGACCAGTATTTAGTACGGAATAAGATTTTCATAATGTGTAAAAAAAAAGTCAGCATAATATGTATGTATAATGTCTAGCAGGATTCACAGGATGCTTTCCTAGTTCAGAATAGATTAAAACAAGGGGACACTTTAACCCACTACTTATTAAGTTTGCTCTTCACTATGTCGACACAGAAATCCAAGAATATCAGAGAGGGCTGGAATTCAATGGCCTATATCAAGTACTGGTCTATACTAATACAGTTAATTTGTTGTAGAAAAATATAAATAGCATAAAATATATTGCAGAAATTCTCCTACAATGCAGTGAAGTTATCAGTCCATGACCAAATATAGATAAAATGTTCACTTCAAAGAGAAGATAACATTAATATGCATACTGTGGCAATAGGTTGTGAGGATGGGATATAGATGAACTAGCTCAAAAGTGATTCCAATGGAAAGATTTCATATGACCAGTGTTAAACGTTCACATTATGCTACGGGAATGTTAGTTTTGGTTCAGTATAAAAATGTCACCAATTGTTCAAATGATATTCTATCACTAAGTCTATCTTCTAACAAAGAGAATGAGTACTTCATAAAAGAGGCTCACCTTGCCCACTTTTGACTTTGCTTCGAGAGCCAATAAATGAATGCGTTCATTGACCTGGATGGAGGCACCATCGCTAATCATTCGGAGAAGAACACGTGCAATGTTCCGAGCATCATCAAGCCCGCAATGTGGTCGCCCCTCAAAATCAAGTTCCAGGTGCTCAAGCATCATCTTCAAACTGAACTGAAAAGCAAATTAATTAATAACAAGACACTATGAAACAGCAAGGATCCACAAGAATGCAAGCCTCTCTTAGATTTTCTTGAACTCTCAACATACCTTTACTTTAGGAGGAGAAACATATGTGGACATGGCAGAGCCCAATAAAAAGGATTCATGTAAGCATGTCTGCTATGAATATAAATAAGGAATGTGCTTGATGTTTCTTGAGCAGATAATGGTTATTGAAGTGAGGAAGAAATTCCAATTCCATGTTGATATCCAGTGGTATGTAAAAACCTGAAACTGGGCCCTATTCTGAGACAGTTCAATTCACTTCAAATCTATACAAGCTCCTTCCCTACAGTCCACTTTAATATTATCCTCCATCTAAACCTATGTTTTACAACTAGTTTGATCCAATGTCATTTAAAAGCCAAAATTTTGTATGGAGAGTGGGCATAACACACACTGGCTAAACCATCATATTTGCATTAGTTCCCTCTATAAAATAAATAAATGAAAGAAAAAATTATTTTTCAAGTTCATGAATATTAATTTCAGTAATGGTCACTGTGATCCTAAGCAATGCCATAGTGATACACACCCTTCTGCACTTGTAGAAGTTGCTGAATGCCTTTCTGATGTTTATCCACTTCTTGGCAAACTTTGGATATGGCAGCCCAGAGATCTGTGAACAACAGTATCTAAGTTAAGCAACAAGTGCCGCTGCATCAAGTAGTCTCATTATAATATTTCGCATTTTGATACAATGTTTAACTCAAACTAAATGTAAACCTGTCATTGCACAGTTCCTGTGTGCAATCATATTCACAATGACAATTACTCAGGTTAATAATTTTCCTCACCTAATGCAGTAAAATTCAAAATGACACCAAACCTCATGAATAACCAAGAAGACTCTATAACTTCAATGACACCCCTTAATATAGGAGCCATGATAAACTTAATCATAGCAATGTCAATAATTAACAATACATGAAGAAGAAATTATATAAACTATATCCTTCTACACATATACAGAAGTTTTGCAACAGTGAGTGAAAAGCTCTGAAATTACACAATTTCAGGTTACTTTAGCAATGAACTGTCAAGTGTTAATGTGTTGCAGCAACATAAGCTGTGTATGTTATGAACAAGGAGGGACTCCTCTGTTTCAGTGCATTGTTCTGCTCTATGAGAACTGATAACATTTTGATGTCAATATGTGAAGTGTAGTTAGTATTTATCACAGAATGTGACTTAGTTTATGAAGATCTGAAAGGTTTATTTCCTTTCCAGAACATGCACAAACAAGATATCCATACAGACTAGTTCAATATATTCAGATTATGGACATACACTATCCTCACATTTCTTTAAATTAATGATGCATGCCCATAAGTTGTTGCTGTTGTTGAAAAGCAATGTTGTTTTATTCTAAATATACATGAATCACATAACCCTCTGTTTTTTTATTGCTAGTGGGGTGGGACGAAGTCCCTTGTACTGCGGCCACTTCTGGCCTATTGTACCAGCCCCAGATTATAGGTGAGGGTGATTGTAGAGCAATTGGTGGAATGAAGATTGGCAGGGGAAACCGAAGTACTTGGAGAAAACCTGCCCCAGTGCCACTTTGTCTACCACAAATCCCACTTGACCAGACCCGGGATTGAACACGGACCTCCGCAGTGGGAAGCCAGTGACTAACCACTTGAGCTATGTTGCGGCCCTAACCCTCTTATTACAACAAACCTCCAAAACTTTTCTAAATAGTTCCATCCTAAGTTGCATTTGTAGTTATTCTAATAAGGAATGGCTTTCTCTGGAATCGACCTGTCATACTTGCTTCTCACAAATTAGTAATAGCAGGAAAAATCTTCAAACACAGATAAACTGGTTAATTCTTAACAGTCAAATTTTTACTTGGAGCTTACACCTTTAAAAATTCAATAAATACAACTTATTTTCTGAAGCATTACATTTCAGACATTTAAGGGCATTTAAGAAACCAGGCCATTAGCTAGTATATCAGAATCTTAATTCCATCTCTTAAATGTTAAAGACATGATATATTCAAAGTATGATAACTGTAAGGAAATACAGTAAATGAACATCACTACATGCTGACATCGATTATGATAATATTACAGTATTTATTGCTGTGATTATGATTGTAAATGGTGGGTTTGGTGTGTTATTCACAGAAGAAGAAAGAGACATACTGAAGATAGTGTTCCTATACCCTAATGGGCCCTTACAATCATAAACATACCCTACAAGACTGGACATCCTCCAAGTCTCTAGCAAGACATTGTGATGAAAGTTGCCTTGTGCACTGCTACAGGAAGAACTTACACTATCAGAAATGAGGTGAATGACAAGTCAACAAAATACACATTTTTTTTTCATAAATTACAAGCTCAGTGCTAGACTACTTAACTACAAGTGTTTTCTTCTAACATGCTGATCTCAATAAATCATTAAAGTTAAGCACAGAACAAAATTCTACAATATGCACATTAGCACCATTAACAACACAAGAGGTTCTGGGAAGAACTAACTGCCTACTTACCTTTGACACAACACAGACTACACAGAAAATGACATGTTCAACAATTCTTCCATTGTTGTGTGCATATTCTTTGCCATTGTAATGTTTCTACTGAGCTATTGCCTAGCAACAATAGGTGGATATACAGGGTGCCCTAGGAGGAATGGACCAAACTTCGGGAGGGTGTTGCTTATGTTAAAGTATGCCGATATAACCCAAAACACCTATGTCCAAAGTTGAACGGTTACGGAGACAATGGCCAGAGAAGTGTGAAACTTTGACCGGTGTTACACACTTGTTGATTACAAAATACATATTAAAACTGGCAGGAATATGTGGATTCTGTAATGTTAATAATGTATGTAACATCAAACTAACTTGTGAGTGACGTGAAGCCATAAAATTGAAGTACAAAATACTCGCTCGCCATGTCATAATTGTCCTTAGGGTTTCCAAGCACTATACATGACACATGACTGGCAAGCACTGACGTAATATGGCTGGCGGCGCATACGGGTATAAACAGACTACATAACTGTATTAAACGTACATTGACGGAAAATCTCTTTTGGAATTTCGTTTCCATTATCTCATGTGGATTATTATGGAACCACGTATGCACATTTCGTAAATTATTTACACCATCCAGGGTAAAAGACGCCTCATCACTGAATAAAATGACGCTTAACAGTTCNTTGCAAGAGAACCAGTATCATGCAATGTCTGGTTAATTCGCGTAAATACACTTCGAGATGGAATCCTTCAATCGGGAAAACACCTTTGGTATTCTTCAACAGCAGCACGTGCATTGCCACCGCAAAATCCACACACAAAATGCATATCACAATATTCCACGTGTGAAAACACACGAGGCATTTCAGCAACTCATCACACAACTAATTTACCACCCATTCAGGACCCCGCCGCAACGTAATCTGTACGCTCTGTAGGTAGCGCATGAGCTTACGGTTGTGTGACTCACAGCACTCAAGGACAAATAGATAAGGGTCTCAGCTGACAGGTACTATAGTGCGTGGACCTGCCAGAAGACCACACTTTTCTCGGGCCATTATCTCCGTAACCGTTCAACTTTGGACATAGGTGTTTTGGGTTATATTGGCATACTTTAACATAAGGAACACCCTCCCAAAGTTTGGTCCATTCCTCCTGGGACATCCTGTATATACAGACACAAAAACTGATGGGAGGGATTTATAAGTATACTGCTGAGAATGGCTCAGGTGCCATGATATACATATCAGGTTCCATAAAGACTAGTTCAGGCATTCAGAGATACAGAGACAGCATGGTGATCTCATAAACTTTCTTCTGTCTTTACAAAATAAGACAGAAGACTAAAAACATTCAGTAATTCTCAATGTACTGTCAATTTCACCTCCAAATTTACAGCGTATGTTGACCCACCATCTTTTCTTTCCCCCCAGAATTTTGAAATTGTTGGTTTTTTTAATTTATGATTAAAGTGTATCTTTAAGGGCTTTGAACAGTTCTGTGCTAATGCAGCAGTACAACAGGTTATTTTAAAGCTTACTTCATGACCTTTAAGATAAGCCCAAAGTGAACTTTGTATATTAAGTAGAACCAAAGTTACAACAAAATTTGTGATCATTTGTAAGTCAAATCTCATAGTTATTTTAAATTTGGAAATGGCAATAATTTAAAAAAACGTTTAAAAAGACATACAACATTTTCCATACATACATTTCTGATTTGTGACAGCCTGTATACCAAATTTCATTGAAATCAGAAAATGTAAGGTTGAAAAAATACTTCAGTGTGTTGATCTGATATGGAATAGCCCACAATTCAATGGTATTTATAATTCATTCACATGCCTCTTGGCAAATATATTACAGTAGACTGTGATCACTTCTTTATGACTCACAACTGCAGTGATACCTTGCATTGACCGTACAGGAAGCGTCCCATATCCCAGGGTCCATCAGTCACCACAGTGAACTTGTGTTTTGACCCTAGCTTGTGTTTGGTGAGCCAAGCTTCAAAGTCTTTCACCACCTGTGGGAAGGTGTCAGCTGTATCCACATCCTCCTGGGTGATGCCTGTCAATTCCTTGCAAAACCCAGAGAGTGTTGAGTTTAGTACAGGGCGGCAGTATGCCTGGAAGTGATCTATTACTTGTTGCAGCTCTGTGCTGACAAGTACAGCCGGGAATTCAATGATTTCATGCCTGTGAAGATAATCCAAAATTCTCAGTTCCTATATTTTTATAATGGGCTGTAATTTGTAACAATAATAAGAACAAGACAAAAACATCAGCAGTAGCAATAATCAATTCCTTTTCTCCACACTATAACTGCAAAATGAACCCATCTCCATTCATGATCCCCTCTCCTCACACAGTCAGTTCAGCATGCTTAAAAAACTGTTAACAATTCTAGTTTCCATATTCATCTGTCATCAGCCCCCTAAGATGGATGATAATCCTGACCAGGCAGAACATTTTGACACCCTGTCTTTAAGTCTGGTACCATGTAGAGAGTAGGGAAGTTAAGTTTTTTAGTCTTTCTATTCATCATGGTTGTATGAAATGTGTGCTACTAGAAACAGAAAATACTGGTTTATAAAGCATACAAATGCACAAGTACTTGCTTAGAATAATTAAAAAAATACTGGGCTGACTATGTGCAACTATGTTAAAAGTAAGAATTCAAAGAAAATGCAGGTCAGGCAGTGAGTGAGACTGCTGAAACTACAGGCATTCAAAGAACTTCAATTTGTACATAAAGCATACTGTCTCTAAAATAAACTGCATAATTAGGTTGTGTAGATCTTCATCACATATGATTAAACAATTTTCTATGTCAGACTGAGAGCAAGGTTAGAGAGGCCTGCTTCAAAACATTACTGCGTACTGGCCACATGCTTAACATATGACCTGTAATATACAGGGTTATTAAAAAAGAATGAACTGATTTTATTATGCAATATTTTATTAAAGGAAAGTAATACAAAACTCCAGCCAAGTCACAAGTATTCTACTCGCAATCAACTTTTATTTCCTGTCTTACAAGTGTTCAACCTGGCCACCACCTGCAGCACGGGCAACATCAATGCGATAAGAGAATTCCTCCCAGGCACGTATCAGCATATCACGATGCACTGAGTTAATCGCTGTTGTTATTCGACGTTTAAGGTCACTGAGGTTAGTGGGTAGCAGTGGAACATAAACGTGATCTTTTACATATCCCCACAAGAAGAAATCACACACGGTGAGGTCTGGGGATCTCGCAGGCCAAACACAAAGAGCAAGGTCTTGGGCCCCCTTCCAACAAATCCATCGCTGGGGATCTTTTTCAATTAAAAAAGCTCGGACCATCAGGTGCCAATGGGGCGGTGCTCCATCTTGTTGAAAAATTAGGTCATGTGAATCTGCTTGCAGTGAAGTGAAGAGCCAGTTTTGGAGCATATCGAGATAGGTTTGTCCTGTAACAGTGTTTCCTTCAAAGAAAAAGGGACCATAAACCTTGTCCTGAGACAAAGCACAGAAGACATTCACCTTAGGGGAATCTCTTTCATGCTCAACTGTTTCATGTGGGTGCTCTGTTCCCCAAATACACACACTGTGACAATTGACTGTGCCGCTCAAGTGAAAAGTCGCTTCATCACTAAAAATTAAACATGAAATGAAGGTTTTGTCTTCCATCATCTCCAGTATCGAATCGCAAAATTCCATCCGCTTCCTTTTGTCGTCACTGGTAAGTGCCTGAATGAGCTGCAATCTATATGGTTTCAAATGCAGATGTACTGTTAGCGCAGGCCAGACAGTGGATTGAGGGATCGCAAGCTCACGGCTAGCTCAATTTGTTGACTTCCGCAGGCTCCTCTCAAATGCAGCACGGATTCTCGCCACTTGTTCCTTCAAGACTCGTGGTCGTCCTGGACTTTTTCCTTTACACAGACACGCTCTCTCTTGAAACTGTCGAAACCAGAGTCGAATGTTCTTAGGACAGGGCGGATTAATGCCGAATCACCTTCGAAAAGCACGCTGCACCGTGACAACCGAATCTGTTTTCACAAACTCGAGAACACAGAACGCCTTTTGCTGAGGACTCGCCATTCCGAGGGTAAACGAACAACTGAACGTCGCCAGAACAACGACGTGACTTCAGCGCCCCTGTGGCAGCCATTCAGAACTTAGATAACTCCTCTTTCAAATGGTCACTGACTCATTCCATGACAATGCTTGAGAACTGAAGCAATTCGTCATGAAATCAGTTCATTCTTTTTGAATAACCCTGTATATAGGCAGCCTGCATTATCCAGGTATATGTTAAAATGGTGGTGTTATATGAGCTATGGTCTATTTTTAACATCCAGACAAGTTAAACGCTTCAGTGACAAAGCTATACGCTACAAGCATACAGACTGTCCATTGATTTTTTTTATCACAGCTTCAGAGAGTGTCTTTCTGCATGAAAAATATCACACTGTAGCATGTAGACATATTAATGGGTAACAACCATGAAATAAGCAATGAAACAACATCTGCTGCTAGGCAACATATTTCTAATAAGCTATCGCAAGACACATGTTCCCATGGAAACAATTGGAGTATAACAATAAACGTTTTCTACATGGTCCATGCCGAGGGGTTATCAATGGGACAAGTTTAGAAGTTAATCAGTTGTTGGGGAGTCTGTGAAGGGAAGACTTAATCAATGCAATTGTGAGCCAGTGAGCAATGAAGTGAGCACAGAAGCTGAAGAATCTCCACTGTTAGAATCTGTTACCAGATATCAACTGGTGAAGACACAGCAGACTGAAAAAGCTTTGCGTGTGCTGTGGTGATTTGTAAAGTGTGGAGAGCAGCAATGGCGCTTTAATTAAGTGCAGTCATGAGTTGTGTGTTAAAGTGGTCATTAAACCAACCTCCAATCCAAAACCCCATTGACAGTCACTCTACCACGTGACAATATTAACATGGGTCGCATTTTCAGCAGTTTCAGGTCTGGGGGTACTTAAAATGAAGCTTAACTTGAAGGAGTCTGTTGTTGGAATAAACAGTTTTATTGGGAACAAGATAAAATGATTACATTGTATAGCAACAGCTAAAAATGTCTGCTGTTGGCTTGGATGCTCGACCTGATTCACTTCACTAGGAAGTGTGTAACTGTGTGAGAAATTACAGAATTATTAGAGTGCCTTGTGGTTATAAAAATTCGGTGAAGTAGTTCATCTCTAGTGTCGACCTTGCATTCATACACCACATCTCTCATGTGACCCTATACAAAGCAGTCTAAGATGCTGAGATCAGGTGAATATGATGGCCAATTCAACATGCTTTCATAGCTGATCCATTGGCCAAGGGAAATGTTCATCCAGATACTGCATTACATTCCTACTAAAATGTGGCAGTGCTCTGTCATGCTGGTAGTACATTTGCAGTCATGTTCACAGAGCAAAATTTTCTAGGAGGACTGGCAATTCATTTCACAAAATTCTGCATAAATGTCACCTATCAGACATTGCACATGTGCTACATTTCACTAACCATAGCTTCAGAACTGCTGAGAATAAGACCCATGTTGACATAACATTTTCCACTATATGACAGAAAAGAATCACCCTCTGAAGCTATGAGGCAACCTGTATATGGATCACAAAGTATGATGACATACTTAAAGAAAAGTCCAGAAAGTCCAAGCAACTCAACATATCCAAGAAATGAGTTGATCCTACGCAGATCTTTAACATTCTTCAGTTAATTTTATCATCATTAAATATTCTTAACACCCTAATTCAGACCTGCGACAGCAACACTTTTGGCTAATTATATATAGTATGAGTCTGGATATAATTAAAATGTCCCAACATTTGTAAATATAACATCCAGCACTGTTCACTTTAAATCATGTGACAGTCCATCTTGTCTAAACGCACTAATATTACACTTGTTGTGAGAGAGATGAACATTCCTCACAAACAATGCAATGGCCATACTGAACACACAAATTATATGCAAAGGAAAATCAAGAAGGAAAATTTGGTCATTTTAGTAAACTTAAAGAAGTTACTTGAAAAAGTGAAGGTGAGTGGAAGTTCTTAGAATTTGCTACTAGGCTGATGACAGTGTATTTATTTATGCATCATTAAATGACCCCATTAATATCTCAGACTATACAGTGTCAAATGGTAAGATGACTATTGAACAGTGAGCTGAAAAAGATGCTGAGGAAAGAAATCACAATCTAACATGAGGCATTCTTCCAGTTATTTTCTGAAGTAATTTACAGAAATCACAAATTCCTGAATCAGAATAGTTATGTCTAGTTGAGATAACAGTGTAGACCGAATTCATTAGGGGCTGAATAGAAATCTGTCTTCTACATAAGCAATTTACTCCCACCATTCAATGAGCACACAGAGCTAACAAAATGAACTTGCTCCTGCTCAAATTCATTGCATTCTTTGGACACTCTCTCTCTCTCTCTTACTTGTGGTGCTCCCTGCACTACACAGTATTTATACAACAAATGATCAAATCTTACTGGTAATCTGGAACATTGGTCTCCTGACATGTTGCCTCAAAGTCAACAATCACATAGTACGGTGAAAGCTTGCTGGCTGTAAAAAGGTTGGCACTAGTTAGCTTCTTCTTCTTGTAATAGTTTTTAAGTCGCTTCTTTAAAACATCACAGTTTCCTTCAGTGCTCAACTTCAGCTCTTTCAGCTTTGACACTACTGCAGCCTTGCTCATCTGGTTGATGCGTCCATTCAACTTGGCTAGTTCCTTGTAAACAGAATTGCTGAATGGGGAGCTCTCTCCTTTGTGCTGCAAACAGAATATGGAGTGCATACCACTTGCTACAGAGCTCATGAGTTGGAACTACATATAACAGTATGAGCACAACATTGCGCTGCCTCTTTCCTTTAATTCCCCCTTTAACTTTGTCTCATTACTTCATAATTTCTCCCTGCCCAGTACTGCCCTTATTTTGTTTAGGTGAAATTAGGATTACGAAGATTAGAATGATGTGTCAGGTTTACCTCATCCTTCCTGGTAGTAAATAATTCATCACTATGCTAAAATTGATGAAGAGTTTGGAGATCATACAGGCCGTCCTGCTTTAGTCTTATTTTTACAATAGCTACAATAGTAACTGAGAACACCTAACATGTACCTCAGCACCTTTTGTATCACAAAGTGAACACTTCTATGTTTCAAGGACTTAGAAAAAATCTTGGCCAAATGCTTTCTTTATCCCACCCAAATACATTATGGGCTATTACTAGGACGCTTTCGAAATCATTTAAGGTTGTGACATATACTCGTAAAGTCCTCATGGCGATAATTATAAAGATTAATGCCGTCCAAGATATGGCATCGTGTAATTTGACTGACAGGTACCAACGTTCCGGAAGAACCTGCTACCTCCGCTTTCAGTGTTCTTCTGCCAAACTATGCGGTATCTCTCCCTATACGACAGACACATTCACATTTAAGGTTAGGTATGTTTCATTAATATTCATTACATACCTCTTCATCTACAGCAGTCGATTCTGCCATTATTGACGTTAACGATTTATTTTTTGTAAGTCTACTGAATAACTAACTTGAAAGACAGTTAAGGAATATATGCAAGACATGGCTTGCAACCGCAGTTTTGACCCGCTCTGAAAACCATTTCCTGAAAACGCCAACCTGAACACGGGCGTGCGACTCAATGCCGTCGACTCGTCGACTCCAGCCCCTTGATGATATAGAGCATATAGAGCATATAGAGGGTAGAGTAGTGTTGTGGTGACGTCAGGGGGCAGCAGCTGAGTTTCCACGGGATACCAATTTGATTCGCGTTTGTTTGGCAGTTAGCTTGCAGGAGTGTAGTAGTGGTGGAGTGCTCGAGTGAACTTAACCGATTTTAACAGACTGTGGGAATCTCCAAACTGTACTGGTGCAATTAATGGGAAGCACTGTGAAATAATTTGTCCAGCCAATTTTAAGAGAAAACATAAGAACATAATAAAATACCTTCCATCCCAAGTTTTACTGCAATTTCATTCCATGTTTTCTTCGCTGTCGCCCTGCTTTTGTACAACGGATGGCGAGAGAGCCAGATTTCAGGTTTTCCTTGAACTTCCGAAATTATCTCCTCAAAAGACTTCTTCCAAACTCAAACGCTCCAAACGCTACTGAAACACAAACTGGCTTGACCTGCACGCTGCACGCACCGCTGCACTTAGGCCCTTAGGCCGTACCCTTAACGCCCTTAACCCCCTTAACTGAGGGGCCAATAAAGAGGGAATGTGTATGTGCTGCCATCTAGTTCTGTTGAGCTGGTGATGCTGACGCACCCTCAATGGCGCGAGTCACAAGAAAATTGTGCTTGAGGATACGCCAGCTTGTGCTGGTATTGAACAAACATGTAAAATGTCTTCAGAAAGTGTGAGCCCCCAGAACAAACATTTAAACCTCTTTATCAGAGACACCACCGTCAAGGACGTTCGTTTCGCCAACAGGTAACGCGCCAGTTCTGCACGTTCTAAACAAAGAGAATGAGGACCCCCAACACCACTGTTGTTAAAAAAGAAGAGACCGAATCAGCAAGCAATCCTACCCTGCTGCTTGGTTGTTGAATCGAAGACCATGTTTATGGCCCGAGGTAAAAGTGTGAACGATAGGCGAGAGTGAATTTCGAAAATGCAGATAGCCAGTACTACATCAGACGAGACCGGGGAAACGGGAATGCAGGGTATACCACGTATATACAACCAGAACGGTGTCTACAGTCGTGGGTAGTTTTGAAGTGCTAAGTTGTTAGTGACGTCAGAAAACCGAAAGGTCTCAAAAAACAGGTTTGAAATGCTTAAATCCGAAAGTGAAATGTGATAGTACAAATCAGACCTTTTACCGGTTCTCACGGTCTCTTTGCTTGCAGATTTCTTATATATTTTTTCTTCTACCCTGAAGATGGAGGCGATACGTTCCTCCGAAACGTCGGTTAACACCACATATACACGGTGCCAAATCCCAGAAGACTGCTTTCTTCATAGTCACCGCCGTGAAAGCCTCAAATCTTACATACTTTCACTAGTCTTTACTTGGAAAAAGCTCTCCACAATGTCTATTCATCTCCCGTGTTTTCACTAGACGTTTCCTTATAACGAATCTTAGTGATGGAGATTCTTCAGTGTCTGTTGTCCGCTGGTTAACACTCAATAGCTGAACCCACATCTCAGCTCATCTATAGCGCCATCTCTTGTCAGCCTCCCTTGCAGAACTCCTCTCAACTATCAACTCTCAACTGAAATGCTCGTAGCGTCGCTTGTCTTCAAAATAACTCCTCAGCAAGGACCCCATGGAAGACAGTCTTCTGTTGTCGAGAATGCATGTTTATTGACCCGTTATCTGGCAGTGGATATTCTCTATATGATTTCAAAAGGCCACTTATAATGTATGTGAATTAATTACGTTCTTCCCCAATAATTTTTGAATATATGAATATGTAGCTGACGTTATGACAGAGGCGAATATTAAGATAATATTGTAGGTCCTTTGCGATTTTATGTCATGTAGTCTGGTACATACGTACCAAAGTTTATAGGACCTCCTGGTTGAAACTTATATAATTCTTGAAGAATACCATTTTCTGGGATGTGGCGCCGTGTAGATCTTGTGAGCAGGTGGCTCACGCTAGTTTCTCGCTGCAGGATTCTTCTAGCCTGAAGATGGAGGCGATACGTTCCTCCGAAACGTCGGTTCACAAGATCTATGCGACACCACATCCCAGAAGACGGCATTCTTCATAGTCACCGGTGTGAAAACCTCATATTCTTAATAATTCTTGTTTCGTGTAGCTGAAAAAGCATGATCGCTCGAAAAATCATGGCCTGTCTGGCAGATTACAATGCATCCTACCGTATATGACAACAGTCTTGACTTTCGCAGTTGATTCAACGAGTGTGTAAACCGAGCACGTCCTATAACGTCGAATGCTGGAATGATTGTGAATGAAGAACAGGTAGGACGTAAGAGGGCAGTCATAGTCTGTCGCAACGCATTTTTCTTTGAATCTGTGAAGAATAATACGGAATAAAGAAATAAAGAACGGATGTAGGAATGTTTAAATGTGGACAGAGCAGTAACAATATAATGTCCAAACTCAACACAAATGTGGACAGAGCAGCAACAATATAATGTCCAAACTCAACACAAAGGTAGACAGAGCAGCAACAATATAATGTCCAAACTCAACACAAATGTGGACAGAGCAGCAACAATATAATGTCCAAACTCAACACAAATGTGGACAGAGCAGCAACAATATAATGTCCAAACTCAACACAAATGTGGACAGAGCAGCAACAATATAATGTCCAAACTAAACACAAATGTGGACAGTGAGTAACAGTGTAAATTTTATAAACATCACACGTTTGGACAGCTTAGTAATAGTATAATCTTCTGGGATCAAATCCCGATGAGGTCATTGGTTTTTTTTCAACTTACCTAATCCTTCCAGCCGCACTATGGTCCTGGGGTCGACTCAGCCTCTAACAGAAATGAGTACCAGGAATCTTCCTGGGAGTAAAGGGAGGCCGGCGCGTAGGGCTGACAACCTTACCACCATCTGTGAACCGATTGTCTAGCAAATGTGGGAACCTCAACATTTCAAAACCCTATCGGCCTCCACGGCCCATAACAGGGATACCTTTACTTTACTTTTCAATCTTTATAAACATTAAAATATAGACAGCACAGTAACGGCGTAATGACCATAGTACATCTCACAGTTGCGGACAGCAGAGAAACAGCACGCTGTTTATGCATAAGACAAATGCGGACGGTGTAATGATAGTGGAATATTCATACACAACATAAATGGTCACGCGGTGAATTTAGAATTTGTCTGGACGTTATGTCACGTCCGTTCCCCTCGAAGATACTGTTCCGAGTATCCGCAAAAGTGTATCTGCAGTGTTAGTGCATATGGACGGGAGTTACACACCCTTTGAGATGTAACCACCTGTAACTGGTTCGCCAATCTAAGGAAGTTGGTACGGCATTTCATACAAACCAGTCACGATTCTTGGTACAATGTGATAACCGCAGTGCTAACAACAAATGCTTGTGCACTCACGTACTCTTAAGATGATAAACCTTCCGTCACCCTTGTAAGCGTAAAGCGGCAAACACATTACATTTTTAGGATAACACATTAGCCTCACTTCTGCGCCATAAAGCTAAGTCTTCAGTCTCCCGTGCATCGAGTTGGGCAGGTGCCATGTTAAGATAGCATGAACAGGAGAAGAAATTGTAAGATTTGAGGCTTTCACGGCGGTGACTATGAAGAAAGCAGTCTTCTGGGATTTGGCACCGTGTATATTACATTCTGGTGCTTACTGTAAGAATTGCAAGTATTAATGATTCAGAGGAAACATAACTGTGCAGATTAAACTCCACAAAACAATTACAGCCTGTGGAGTCAACACTCAGCACATTTTTAACCTGGGCGCGAGACTGGTAAGTTGTCAGCTTTACGCTCCTGCATGTTGGCTGCTCCCGGATCCAGAGCCTCTCTGGCCTTGGTGGCAGAAAGAGAACAGTCTACTTCTTCCGGGAATCCATCCCTCACCGCGCATTCTGAAGCCACTCATCTCAATGAAGAAACTATCCCATTATCAACATAAAGGGATACAGACACTTACTGGACAGAACGCCGAGACACAGGACTTTCTCTACAGTGACAAGGCTTCAAAGATAAACGCCAAGATATTATTGCGGGGCTGTGTAAAAAGAAATGGACCGTAAAATGTACGCAGATAAGTTCAATTTCTTTTTTAATCAAGTCATGACGTAGGCATATGTTTACTTGTCTGTGAGGTTTAAGTACCCAGACCGTGAAATTCTCACTCAACTGTGAATTTTTGCATTTCCTGTATCATGCATAATGATTTGCATACACCTGTCTGTCCTGTTAAGATGTTAGAGCGAAATTAGCTATTCTTACTTGTATTTTCATTCTGATGTCGGCTGTCACGATTCTTGACGCGTGAATACAGCTGATAAATTATCTCCCGAATTCGAATTAGAGATGCGTGGTTTCTTTCCTGTTCCTTCCATTACTAATTTCTTCTTTTATTCCTTCTATCAATGCTAACTCATAATATATATAATCTGACATAAGGAACTAAGCGTACACATACAGAAGATGTGTATTCACGTGTGTGTTCAGAGAACCGAACGACTACACTTTATTTCCCAGAAAGGGTAATATATCCCTTCTAACCGTCCTACCAACCTCATTTCATGTGGGCACCGGGTGCTTTTCCAGGGCGCAATGTAACCGGAGCACGGAATTTCAAAAAGTAAAGATGAAAAAGCTAAAACTATCCCTGTAACAGGCTGTGAAGGTCCATAGGGTTTTGGTTCATCGAGACTCTCGAATTTTCTAGACAATCGGCTCACAGATAGCGGTGAGGTTGTCATCCGCCGACAGCCCTTTACCACCCAGGAAGATTCCTGGTACTCATTTCTGTTAGAGGCTCAGTCGACCCCAGGACCATAGTGCGGCTGGAAGAATAAGGCAAATTTAAAAATCCAATGAACTCATCGGGAATTGAACCCGCGACCTTTCCGGCTTGTAGTACAGTGCCTCAACCAACAACGTTACCGCGTGCCCCATTTCATAAAATACAGGGATAAATTCAATTTGCTATATAGATGAGTGCGCGCGCACATGCACACATACTCGTTGAGAATTAAATT